GCAGACCGCCGCCATCTTGTCGAACTCGATGGACACTGGCCATGTGACGTCACATCCGGTCCAGAACCGGCCTAACTAATCTACTTATAATTGTGCAGATATTTGGTAAATTTTAAATTACGTACCAGAACTACATCATAGCTCGTTATCATATAAATTTCGTAATAAGTGCCAGGAAAGTGAAGTTATTTACACTTGTTTTCGTTGGAGCAGTCTGTACATTTCTAAAACTCTATTCACGAGTACAGTTCTCGAGATAATATTTAAACACGAAACAAATACAATAGAAAAATAAAACTTAATTAAATGAAAGTCGTCAGTTGGGATTGGAGTGGTTTTGTTATGTTTTTGGTGTTCTAATGAGAAACAGTTTTAGAGATGAATTTCAAAATAAATTACACCATACTCGTAGTAATTGCTGGTAAGATGAAAATAATTTTGATCTATATTATAATATATAATATAATATATAAACAAAAATATATTTTAATCATTTTTATTTAAAACATATTGAATATGCTTGCTGTACATGGTACACCACTTAAAAATCTTATAGTTTGTATCTCCTACATTTATGAAGATATCGTAACAATCGAGCTATCATTGTATAGATATTTTCAACTGTGCAGTTGCTATAACAAAATGCAGACCTTGAAAATTCATTTATCAGAGAAGATTTTTTCCTGAATGCCAGTATAAAAGTTTATAATACTATCAGACACTTACACCATGAAAAGAGCTTTAATTTGATATTTAGGTTTAAAATTCTGTCTCGAAAACTGCGTGAGAGAGAGAGAGAGAAAGAGAGAGAGATGATTATATTGGAGCAAAATTGAGCACCTACTTAAATTTTATTTGTTAGTTTTTGAGATTTTTTGAAAATGTGAAATTTTCATATTTCAGTTTTATCGTTTTCTGTTATTATTTGAAAATTTATACTTTTACATAATTTTTCTTTTTAATTGTATAATCAAAAGTTTTTATAAACTAACAAAACTTGAAGAAATAAATATTTAACGAACTGTGATAGAGATTTTGCAATTACTTGACATTCACACTCCTTTTGTAGCTTTTGTTCTGATATAAATTTTAATTTCGTTAATATTTGTATATTTTTTGAAAACTTCCGTAAAAAGTACAAAAAATATGTAATTAGTAATAATCAAAAAATTGAATTCGAGTAAAGTGTTATTTCATATTTTACAAAGTTATCAAAGCTTTTAAAAATAAAATAAAAGAGAATTATAAATCAATCTTAATAGAGAAATTACATTCACAAAGAGTTTTCTAGTTCGAAATTTCACGGAACAATAACGTCCTTAGACTAGGAAGGTTAGAAGGAATACAATAACCTGGAAATATTAAAAAATATTAACTGATGAGAGATGATGATACAATGTTAATACATCATTCTTATTTAATTCGAAATACTCTCTATACCAACAGAAGCTAAAGGTCTTTTCATTGTCTACGCAATGGCATTACATATTTGAATATGTGCTGAAGAAAAAAATTTCCGTGAAAACAAATTTCAACATCCCCCGTGTTGTTACTATCACTTATCTTGTTTTATAAATAAACAGATAATTCAAAAGGATTTGAAAGGATGTGTAAACTGATTTTTCGATAATTATTAAATTTTAAGAACTATAGAAGTACGCTTCCGGAATTTTAAGTGGTGACGCTGTACTGATAATTCGTATAGGTAATTTGAAATATTCAGTAAGTTCTTACTTTAAATATCACCAAAAGAGAATGTTTTATCAATGACATTGCGCCGGATTTCTTTAAATGCTTAAAAATATCTAATTATCAGTGTGTTACTATGATGAAATTGTTCATAAGTATGTGAACGGAATTCATTTTTAAGTGTTCAATCTATGTATTTATATACACAGTATTAAATTAACAAAGAAAACATGAGATTTTTAATTCAATATATTGAAGTGACTTCATGTATGTTGCAAATATTGCATATACAAGATCTGGTTAGAAAATAACCAAACTTTAAATTTTTAAACTTTATTTTATACATTATTGGCCTTTCTGGTCGAGGATTTTCTTCAATTGACTATTTTTAAATCGTGAAAACCATTTGTAACATTGCGTACTATCAAGAGCATCATCTCTGTAACCTTGTTTCAAAAGTTGTAACGTTTCCGTGAAAGTTTTCTCTAGTTTCACCCAAAATTTTACGTTGCATCCTTGTTCAAGAAATTCGCACATTTAAAAAATCGTCACTAACACTTAAACACGTTGCATTCAAATAACAATATCGCAAATACTAAATGAGATATCAAAAATCCAAGAACATATGGTGGATGAGGAGGTTATGCGCAACGCAATGCTGCCAACCGCATATCACTAAATATCTCCATTAGCGCGTAATTCAAAAAATTAAGTTATTTTCTGAACAGACCTCGTAACTAAGAAAATGTAGTTTTTCTATGCATTTGGTTACTTATGTACTGTGAAGTTTAATTTTATATTTCTATTGTTAATTAATACAATATAGACAATTTTATAGTATAATTGACCTTAAATTAAATTTTAAAGACAGTGTAGTACAATAAACTATGTTTATGAATAAGTTTAGAGAATAATAAATAATGCTGTGGAAAAAAATAAATATTTGTATACAGTACGGGTGAAAAGTAAAAAATAAAATTATTTAAACTGAGAAAAATTACTCGAACACATCGTTATTTATTTCTAAAAATTAATATTTGAACAACGTTGCATTCTGTACTTCAACCAGTGGCGTAGTAAAAAGGGTAAAAAATGTTTAAATAGCAGTAAGTATAAGTTGTAACAAATACACTGATTTGTTAACACCCCATAGTTTGGAAAATAAAGCGATTTTGTCACATTTTGATTTGCCTTACTGTCAAAGACAGTACCTAATACACACCTAATCTTGAGAAAATGTAATAACTATACAAGGTGTCTCGTTTACACTTTTAACTTATTTTCCTTCAATTATGCCCCTCAAACTACCCGAATCCACGCCACTGCTATTGGGAATAAAATATTTTGCACGTTTTTTTAAACATAGTTGATATTTAATCGTGTACAAAATTTTACTTTTTTATCTTTAGCCGATTTAACAAATTTCAATATTTTCTTTGTAACACGAACGAAATACATAGCGTTAACCTACTTAGCAAATGTCGTAAGTCCATTTTTTATCCACACAGAGATTTTAGTGAACTTACGACTATTTTTGCCCCTGAATCGAATGCAGTGGACATTCGACATATACGTTTTGATGTTTTCGCGTGCTGTTTACTACTAAAGTAAAATCTGACTTCTCAGCATGACAGGTTCATGCACTGCCAGCTAAATGCCACCAAAATCTCTGTTTGGATAAAAAATGGACGACATTTGCTAAGTAGGTTAACGATAGTTCCTTACTAATCCGCACCTGCTAAACACGAAAATTGCAGTAAAAACTACGCATCACGTCACATTTATGTGTTACATTTAGGTACATGCCATTTCATTTTTATTCAAATATTTTTTATATACGTCTGAACTTTGTTGGCCAAAATTAAACCCCAAGCTATTAATTAATTAGATTACAACTTTCAATGTCAATACAGTACAAAAACAAAAGAAACCAAGGCAGAGTATAATTTCAATGAAAGCAATTATCTTGTCTGACAATGAGAAGAAAAGTGCAGGATTCACTATTTTTTCCTCTTATGAGGTCGTTCACTTTGATAAACCAGCAATTAAACCTTTGTGTCTGCTCCATGGTGCTGATTTCCTGATGAAACCTTTCCCCATGTTCATCACTTGCAGCACCAAGGGAAGAAAGCCAAGTGAGAATGAAGGCAATGCATTTTCAGTGACTCAATTTTTATAGTTCCTTAGAAGTTTTGTTATCAGTTGCGGATAGTTATGTGCTAAATGGTTGCCCAAAAATCCTTTGACCACAAACATAAATGTTTCCCGGGCTGACAGTTCAAGGGGATTTAATTTTGATTTAAAATGTTCGTCTTTCAAAACGTTTCTGATTTGAGGACCTACGCATATGCCTTTTTTTATTTTGGTATCACTTCAGAAGCATCACTTGTTTTGTCAAGGGCCATTACAAAATTCTTTATCTGTCCCAGTCAGGGGTGGAAGATGTACAATTTCAGGACACGCAACATTTTGCTATCCAGGTATATTCGTCTCGTAGAAGTCAATCTTTCACCACATAATGCTGGTCTGTAGCTCGGCTATCCCACAGATAGGAAGCAACAAAACTTAGTGAAACCGCCTTGCAATTCAAGCACTAAATAATTCCTTACATTTTCATAAAAATAAGATGATTTTTACGAGTTCTGTTAAAACCTGACGCAATTGAAAAATTTGGAAGACATATTAGGTTTCAATGGGAAAAATCAGGAGGTGAAATCCTACATGAACCACCCCTAAATGCTTGTTTTACAAAAATAGTGTAATTAAGAAAAACCTTTTTCAAACTTCAACACCCTGTATCACGAAAACGTAACGTTAACGAAAAAAACTTTCATAAACAACCCCCAATATTTTTCTAAGAGGGACTCATCCTCCTATTTCGAAGTATAAATGGGACACCTTGTATGTTATAATTATATTAATGAAATTATGAAAAAGTTTGACATGTTTCTCACCTGTAATGTACGTGTACTGTAGGTTGGTCTGGGTACTTAAATAAATAAGTGTGTAAAATTATCAGTTTCCGTAAAATTTTTGCTGCTATGTTTTTACTATCATTAAAAGGATATAAAAATATCTACATCTTTTTTATATAGGATCATTTTTTCATAAAAAAGTTATAATCGACTTCCTACAGCAAAATTGTAATAGATAAGACATACACATACTTTCTGACATATTGTTTTTTCACAAATATGTTGCGAGTGATAAAGGTAACTAACATGAAAAAGAGTATATTTAATTTCCTAACAACAATATTTTACAAATTGCAGTTGGCCTCCTAGGCACTTCTGGTGATATCACCATGACCTGGTCGTCTCCCATGTACTCAAAACTATACTCCAACGACACCTCCATCAATCCACTGGACGAACCCATCAACTCCAACCAAGATGCCCTCATAGGATCGCTGATAAACATAGGGGCCATAATTGGACCATTTCCATTCAGTCTTATGGCTGATAAATTTGGTAGAAAGTTAACTCTCCTGTGTGTAGGAGTTCCGCATCTCGTGGCATATCTCAGTTTCGCGTTTGCTAATAGCGTTTATTATTTTTATTTTGGGAGATTGTTTGGAGGTATAGGTGTAGGAGCAGGTTACGCATTGCTACCCATGTACTTGGCAGAGATAAGCGAAGATTCCAATAGAGGAGTTATATCTGCCTCATTGATGGTGTTCTGGTCCTTTGGGGATCTTTTGCCTTATGTTATAGGTCCCTTTTTATCAGTATTAGTATTTAACTTGATTTTGGCCTGTTTTCCTTTGGTATTTCTTATTCTATTCTTTTTATTTGGAGTCGAAACTCCTTATTATTGGTTAACGAAAAATCGAGAGGATAAAGCGGAAGAATCCTTGATGTACTTAAGATCATTAAATAAAAAAGATGTAGAAAAAGAATTGGAACACATCAGGAAGAATTTTAAAAGGGAAGAGGGCATGCATTTTACCGATATAGTACATAATCCTGCGCTGAGAAAGGCTTTCCTTATTTCCATATCGCTTATAGCGTTACAACAACTTGGAGGTATTAACGCTATTGCTTTTTATTTGCAACCTATATTCGAAGCTTCTGGTAGTAAGTTGTCTTCTAATATATCCTCTGTTATTTACGGAATTGGCATGTTCTTCTCAAGCTTTATTGCCCCTTTAGTGATCAACAGATTCGGCAGGAAAACTTTGGTAAACTTTTCCTGTTTAGGAACAACTTTATCCCTGGTGGTTTTAGGGGCATTCTTTTATATTCATGACTCCACAGATCTCAGTACTGAGTCAATTTTCTGGTTGCCACTTGTCAGTGTAATATCTTATTTATTTTTCTTCTCATCTGGAATCTCTATCTTACCTTGGACCATTGCAGCAGAACTGTTTCCTACCAGTTGTAAGCAAATATCTTCATCGAGCGTTTCAAGTTCTTGTTGGATAACGTCATTTGTAGTGACCCAGTTCTTCAACAACATGGTCGCTTTGATGACCACAGCAGGTGTATTTTGGTTCTTTGCAGCTTGGTCTCTTTTTTCAGTGGTCTTCTCTGTACTGTTTGTTCCAGAGACTAAAGATAAGAGCTTTAGAGAGATTCAGGATATGTTAGGGTCATGATATTTTTAATTTTTGTAGACATATTAATTTATCTCTAAATACATTCTACAGAAATAGTATTCTGTAATATTTCTGTTAAGCTATATGTATTTTACTTGAATTTAATTAAGTGGATATATTTATAAATTTTATTAATATTGTAAGCATTGTTTTTAAGAATATTTATTATAAATAAATAAGTAGGAATCCTTTGTTATTTATTATTTATTTTTTAACATACACTAGGTACAGAAATTAAGTTATATTCAAAAAATCCCAAAATTTTAGGTGATCTTCAAAGTGCTCTAACTTGGAGGGAAATGGTCGTAGAGAGAATAAAAAAAAAGAAAATTGAAGCTTCAAGTGTCTAGTTTTCAGATTCAGTTTAAAATTTTTTAGTATCAGCAGTTTTGAAGTAATCATAAGAAAATCAACGGAAAAACAAATAAATATTTTGCTTTTTTTAAAAAGCAGCTGAATTTTTTTTTGGTAATTTCATCATAAAGCTCTGTTAGATATTTTTTTTATCAAAAACCCATAATTACGACTTGTAGAGAATACTTTACAGTTTCCAAAGCCCTGCTTGGATTTTCTGTACGAACATAATCTCCCGAGTAATTGATTGTCAAAGTCAAAAACGACTATTTTGCTTCGATCGACGGTAACTCAGCGACAAATAAAGGCTCCGGAACCTCTAAAATTAAAGAGAATTAAATTATCTAAAAGTGCTTTATGACGAAATGACCAAAAACACTTTTTTAAGTCCATAGGTCTTTTTAAAAAAAGCAAAAATTTACAATTTTTTTTTCCGTTGATTTTCTTATCATTATTCAAAAACTGCTGACGCTAAAAAAATTTAAACAGCAAATCTGAAAACTAGATATCTGAAGCTTCAATTTTCTTTTTTTTATTCTCTCTACATTTCCCTCCAAGTTACAGCTCTTTGAAAATCACCTAAAATTTTGGGATTTTTTAATATCCGTTAATTTCTGTGCCTAGTGTATTACAATATTTTTTAGAATGTGATTAACACAGAACTAGCCACATTATATTAATATTGATAATAATTAATTAAAAAATAAAATTTACTTTCAGGAGATACTCAGATTTAATATAGTACTGGCTTTTATGAATTATGTTAAAAATAAGTCCGAAACATGTGAGGTTAGTGAAACATTCTTAAATCAAACTAGGGAATTTCTAACCAAATTTAAATTTTAAAAAATTTTCTATATGAATTATCATCTAATTATTAGTAAGGATTATATTATAATATGTAATGTATATTAAAAAGTAGACCGAATATTATTTTTATGAAAGGCACAACCCAAATAAAAAATACTGGAGAATATAGCTTCTAAACAAGAAACTTCACCAAGTAATAGGACAAATTATTTTAAGTAAAAAAAAAGATAAATGAACGCGGACCGTAGTACGCTTCATTTTCGAGATACAGGGTGTATAAATCATAAAAAAGTATATGTATTTCCTATTTTTAAGAGAGAGAAAAAAAACTTTTTACGTCTATTTCAGTTTCAGTGATCACAACTTACTTATTATTTTTTCAAGTCTTTCAATTTTAAAAAAAATAATTCAACGGAATTTTATTTTAAATCAGACTGCTCCACTGAACTATTACTTCATCAACTGGACTTGTTTTCATAAAAAAATATTAATAGCTAATTGTAAAATTAATATTAATTACACAACCCCACAAAAAAGTTCTGTAAAAGAGATATGAAATTTTGTTTAATTTTTTATGCTGAATCCGAATCCGTATCCCAAAAATCGATTTACTTTGAGAAAATATTTTAAAATAATATTTTGAGTATTGGTAAGAAAGATTTGCAAATTAATTCTACACCCACCCCTTCGAGATGGTTAATTCCACGTCTAAGACAAATAACGAATGTTAGGGCAAAACAATGTGAAAAGCCATAGCCTTGTCTTTTGTACTACCAAAAACATAAAAGTAGCTTAATAGACAACGCACAAAAAAATATAATATAGCTTATCCCTTAAGGGTTGGAAACCACCTATAGATCAGGGTCCCACTTACCTCTTTAAGCAACACATTTTTCTATTCAATAGTCTTGCCACAATTCTTTTACAGCCGGTTTTTGGGTTCGCTGATTACGAATAGTCGAGGAAATAAAGCACAAAAAGAGCCGAAATCTCCGAAATTTTTCGATCAAGTCGTATCAAGATGTGGTTTTTTGCATTCGCTTTCTAAAATTATGTGGAAAAAACGTATCAACTTTGCATTATGTTTTTCGACCAAATTGCATTTGTGCATTTGCATTTTTTAAAGTCACTTAGAAAAAATTCATAACTCGGTTAATAATGCCTGGAATGGACTCAAATCAGGGTCCTGGGGGTTTTCGAGGTCGCTGATCCCGAATATGACCTTCAAATTGGACCAGCGCCGACCTGGAGCTTAGGATTGATAATGAACGTCATCTCCGAGGCTTCTCCTGAATTTCACTCTTAAATGCAACGAGACTTAACACCCGAAGGTTTTTCGGGTCGCTCTTCTCGAAATCATCTTATAATATGACGCATGCACTGTGAGCCCCCAGACCGGGGTCCTCGAAAAACTATCCGGGCCCTATACGTCAGTTGACGATGAAAATGATATTTAGTAGAATATTTTCAAATTAAAGTAATAGTTAATTAGATTAGGATAAAATGGAGTTAGATTATATTTGAGTTAAATTAAATTGAAGTTAAAAGTAGGTTAGAAATGGCAATTGATTTGGAAATAAATGATTTTGATTTGTTTTTGAAATAACACTTACATTGTGACATACATTCAATTTATAATCTCTATTTTCATTTTGCATACTTTAAATGAGACCAACTATTCCAAACAAGTTATTGCAGTATTAACGGCAGTCTCAAATATATAGAAAATAAACTGTTTATTGATTTTTCTGGTGATGACGCCAATTTCAAGGTCCAGGTTGCGGTGCACCAGGTGGCCGGGGGATGGTCGCCGACGACAGATTCGAGAAGAGCACCCCGAAAAACCTCCTGATGCCGGCTCGTTTACGCGAATTTTACAGGAAAACTCCCGGAGATGACGTCCATGTCTAGGTTCCGGTGCACCAGGTGTCCGGGGGGTGCTCGCCGACGCCAGATTAGGAATCAGCGACCCGAAAAACCTCCGGGTGTCAAGTTTCTTTGCATTTAAGAGTGAAATTCAAGAGAAGCCTCGTAGATGACGTTCATCATCAATCCTAAGCTCCAGGTCGGCGATGGACCAATTTGAAGGTCATATTCGGGATCAGCGACCTCGAAAACCCCCAGGACCCTGATTTGAGTCCATTCCAGGCATTATTAACCGAGTTATGAATTTTTTCTAAGTGACTTTAAAATTGTACGTTTAAAAATTACTGAATTATTCTTTTTGGTAAGTACCTAAATTATTTTTAATAC